GACACAACATCTTTGTTGGTATGTGGTGCTGAGGATCGAACCCGGGTCGCACGCATGTCAGGCGAGCGCGCTACCGCTTGAGCCACATCTCCAGCCCCTTAATTAGTTCTTTTTACCTATGCATAAAGTTAAGGTTCTTTGTCCTATTTATATATGCACATAACACGATTTTGTATGAATGCATTCTGCATCGCCTCCCCTTCCCTATCCCTTCCCTCTGCCTCTCAATCTCCTTTCTCTAAATTACTGATCTTCCCTTTATCTTTATGTTATCCTATCCTTTCCTCCCTCTTCCCTTTATTTTCTTTGGGTAAAATGCCAGGAAGTGAGATATGTGGGTCATATGGTGGTTCCATCCCTAGGTTTTTGAGGAATCTCCATACTGCTTTCTAGAGTGGTTGTGCTAATCTTCAGGCCAACTAACAATGTACAAGTGTTTTTTTCTTCCCACAACCTTTCCAGCATTTATTTTTTTTATCATTGCCATTCTGACTACAATGAGATGAAATCTTAGTGTAGATTCGATTTGCATTTTTCTGATTACTAGAGATGTTGAAAATTTTTTAATATATTTATTGGCCATTTGTGTTTCTTTTTCTTTCTTTCTTTTTCCTTTTTTTTTGAGAAGTTTCTGTTTAGTTCTTTCAGCAACTGGGCTATTCTTTAGTTTTCAGATAGCACTAAAACAAGGGTTTAAATTAAGTGGGGGCACAGATCTGACACAGTTAAATCTGATTCAGTTAAATCTGGCAGGAATAAGACTTTAAAGTGGAAGTGATATTTAAATTGGGCCTTGAGAGGTAAGTTGGATCATCAGGTGGAGGAAGACTAGGGAAAGGTATAGAGAACAGCATGTTAAGAGGAAAAATGAGACAACACCATATGCTTGACATCCAGTGAGACCCTGAGCATGGGAAGAATGGGGTGAGTGGGTGTGAGGGACCGGAAGATGGTCTGACCCTGGGTCCGCAAGGACTTTGGTTCTCATGTTTGGGCTAGAATCCAGTAAGAGAAAGTATAATTGTCATTCATACTAACCACACCTGCAGGTCTCTTGCCAGCCAGGTCCAGCCCTGTTAAAGGCCAACGTTGGAGGAGAGGATGGGTGGCACAGTGAGGAAGGAAAAGACAGGAGTTAAATTAACATTGCAATTCCAGGCTAGAATAAATGGTTAGGAATTTTAGTGATTGAGATATGGACTTCAGGAGGAATTGGTTTGAAGGGAGAGATCATAACTCAATTTTGGTAAAGTTGGGAACATTCATGGGAAGCTGTTACATTATTGATAACATAGTCTTACATAGTATTAGAACTCAGGAGTGAGCCAAGACTGGATTTACTTGAGAGAAAGCAGAGGAAATGGATGAGATGGTAGGGAGATGATGGTGAATGGAAAGGAAAAAAAAGTGAAGATGAATCTTGGGGAATGACCACCTGATGAAGAGTCAGTTAATATACCAGCAAAGATTTTAAGTAGGGTAAAAATAGGAGAGAGTTGTATTGTGGAACCCACTGGAAATTAAGATTTTACAGAATGGTTAGTCAGAAATGTTTTAAAAGCTTAAAGATAGACACAAAGTTAAAAAGAGGTAATTTGGGGTATGGAGGTATAGCTTAGTGGTAGAGTGTTTGCTTTGCAGGTTCAATCCCCAGCATACCCGCTGCAAAGAAAGAGGTAATTGACACTATAACTTAAGTGACCTTGACTGAGGAAGTGGCATCATTATGTACAAAAGTATGATATTGTTTTAAAGAGTAAAAACAATTTGTTAGCTTTAGGTGAAGCTAGAGTCTAAAATATTTGGGATACTTTCTAATTCTGATATAATTTGAAGGTTACAGAAAAATTATAAAAATTACACAAAGAACTTTCATATAACCATATTACCATTTCTTTTTATTTCTTTTCTGGTGTGTGTGTGTGTGTGTGTGTGTGTGTGTGTGTGTGTGTGTGCCTCATACAAGCCTCATACATGTAAAGCATGCAGAGTTCTACCACTGAGCTATATCTCTAGTCCCTCCATTTTAAAACATTTACTTCTTTGCTTTATCATCCTCTCTCACTTTCAGTTTTTGAATACTTTGAGTTGCAGATATTATACCTTTTTTTTACCTCAAGATATTTCAGTGTTTATTTCCTAAGAACAAAGCTACTTTTCCTAGTGGTAGTTATCAGATTAAGAAATTTCAGGAGATCCAAAATGGTGGAATAGCTACATTCCTGGTGGCTCTGTGGCATGAAACCAAGAAAACAGACAGGCAGCTTCTCTACACGGTGGGTAAACAAAAAAAAAAGGGTGGGGAGGGGCTTAACTGGAACTTAAGACTGGATGTTCAAAGCAGATCAGGGACACAGGAGGTTGGATATAATAAGGAGAAAATCCCCAGTGGCAGAGATGCTGCTACAGCCCAGCTGGAAGCTCCAGCCAGAGGGTTCCCCTTCATGAGTACAGTAGGTGGAGAAGAGAATTAAAGTTACTGGTATATTTGGGAGACTGGAGAAATGTCTGGATATTGAGCATTTAGAGACCAAGGACATTACCCAACAAACCTGAAGGACTCACTGTATGATACCATATGTGGAGAAAGAAGCCTCTGTCTCTCCAGGTGGCTTGTGGAGAACAAAGGAAAGAACCATATTGCAGCTTTGGCACAGGGGCCAGCAATAGAGAAAGCCCATTCTTGGCAAACCCGAATTTGGCCTGGAATACAGGCCCAGTAAACACAGGCTGCATGACATAGACTGTGCTTAAGTGACCAGGAGAAAATCAAACATAAGTGGAACACAGGGGAGATCCCTGGGGTAAAGTCTTCTAGCATGTACCAACAAATACTGGGCACTGGATGAAAATGTCATAATTTCTGCCTTTGGATTATTGGTGAGATGGATGATGACAATTTTAATACTAAATTTTGTGTTGAGTGCTAGGTATAGGATCTCAATCCCTCATCTGGAAGCCTTGAGGCCAAATGTGCCATGGAATTCAGAATTGAAGGCAATTTGCTACATATACCATTTGACATAACTCCCTAGTGAGATCTAGGGCTGCGTGTGGTAATCAAACCCAATTTTGATTTATAAATTGAAGCATGAATATCCCCACTAATTACGAATAGTCTCCTGTGTGTTCAAATTAGATTAGGTCACTAAAAAGCTTTGCATTAAAATAACAAAAATGTTTTGGCTTCAGAGCAGTTTATACTTCTGAACTGTGAATAAAAGATCTATCTGAATGAACTATAAATAGATCTATAGAAATAGTCCTATGAGAGAAAATACTTTCATCTCCAGGAGTCAAAAAAAAAAAAAAAGCCTTGCAAAAGAGATGACACTTAAGAATAAGTCTTGGAGAAAGTGTTGGTTTTAGCAGTAAATGGGGTTCAGAGGTAGGGTAGAGGGGAAGGACATTCAAATAGAGGGAAAATTTGAGCAAAAGCATAGACGCAGGAAAGTCCTTGGATTGTATGGGTAATTATTGGTAATTCCAGATTGCTGGGCCATAGGGCTTGTGGGAAGGAATATCAGGAAGGAGACTGATCTGGGAAGGTGAGATGAAACCTAAACACCAAGAACTTTTTTAGCATTCTCAAGGTTTGGAACTTTACCTGCTAATAGTGGGGAGCAGTGTGGTCACATAGCTGTTTTTGGAAAGTGGCACCTGAACTGACAATGTTCTTGCTTGGAGCCAATGCCGAGGGTTAAATAGGGTGGAGTGGGAGACTAGGGCAGGGAAGCAGCTGGTGTTATGCAGGAGACAGAAGATGTGAGCCAGTATGAGCTCAGCCATGGAGAGGATGGAGATTTGAGAGTAAAACCTGGGCAATTTTGAGAGCAAGGTTAGAATCAATGGACTTGATGAGTAATTGAGGAACGAGGGTAGAGAAAAAGGAGATTCAGATTGATTCTTGTCTGAAACTCAAGGACAGAAAGTGAGACAGCTATAATCAGTAATGAAGATAGAAGGTTCAGAATCCAACCTGGGTTCATATTCCAGCCATCTCTTCTTACAGCTAATAGCTTTACCTTATCTACAGATGGATGTGACAATAGCATATAACATTATGCATGTTATATTATGTATTATTATATTACATAATAATAGAATATTACATACATTCCTGACACATAGAAATAGCACAAATATTTATGAGTTTTGACAATCACAGTGGACGGAGTGGGCCAAAGTCCAAGGAGTTATGTTTTTGTTAACTTGTAGTTATAAGGTCAGGGTATTTGTAGTCCTTGAAGAGGACTCTAGTTCTATATTCCTTTTTATCTTCAAGGTTCCTGTAATTATAGGAAACTTTCTCATTTTTATCTCTTTGGATATTTGGTATTTCTGGTTTCTTCTAAAAAATTTATGCAGAGTAAAACAGAGATCTGCCATATCATATTCTTGAAGATTATGATAATAGAAAGATGATGTGTTTATTGACCTTATGATAGCATGTATAATTTTCCCTTTTATCTATGAAATGTACTTTTAAAAATTGGCCAACCATCAAAAAATTGCTATCAACTGGAAAAAGAGAAGGTTACTAGAGGGGGTTACTCTAAAAAACAAAAAAGATTATTCTAGGGTTGTAGGTTGAAGGTGCAGTGAAAGAAAAATTACTGTTCATGGGTAGAATTTTGTCAAGGTGAATTCTCAAAATGGTATTAATCAATATGACAAATCCTGAAAGATGATTTGGAATTTCAGTCTTATTGGAGAGCTGCCTGGCAAGCTTTCCGAAGAAGCCTCATGTGGCTGAGCCCCTGTAAGATTTTTCATAAGAATTACTTAGTCTATGATAAGAAATACATCATTGAACTTCTACCTATCCAGCAATGAGATGTCCAGCTCTCCAGAGCTTAGGTCAGATGGCTTGAAGCTCAGTGCTCT